GTGAATTCCATCTCATAAAGCTTTTAAAAAAAGGACAGAAATATAAATTTTATGTCCAGCTTTCAACAAATTTACAATCTAGTTGTACAGGGAAAAAAAGATACACAGTCAAGACAAATTATCAGAGATTTTAAAAGGCGATTTAATAGACTTGCTAATATGGAAAACAAAAACTCTTTTAAGTTCAAAAGAAGACTTCAATGATCCGATTTTCTTTCTTACACAACTGTTCTTCTTTTATTTAAAAAGCTATGGAGAGCTCAGATCTGGCTGGTATGCTGTTACTACAGACCCCAAAGTCTCAATTTCCGAGCTTGTGAGAAAGGAATGACAACTTAGCATTGCCAAGGAATTTTTTTTTAATCCTCCAGAACACAGGCTCTTGATGGGATTATAATGAGTCGCAAGAGTCAGTTAACAGGGCCATTGAAAGATGGACTTGGTGCTCTAATTCTTCTTATATCCTGGATTTGTCTTTACCACCAGAGTTTAGGCCAAATAAATGTACGTGCTTACACACAAAAGAACTCTCATATATGAGGCTTTATGACACCCAGGTATTTTAGGCCATGTGCAGTGAAGATGATTGGTTAAAAGTATGTCCTACGCCAGAGTTCCTAAAATTCTTAATCTTTTTTTAAAGTAATCTCTATACCCAACATGGGGCTCAAACGCATGACCCTGAGATCCAGAGTTGTATGCTCTACCAACTGAGCCAGCCGGGTGCCCTATTCCTAAAATTCTTAATAGCTGAAAAGTGTTTATTGTGGCAGGGGCTGACACACAGAAAACTCCCAACTTTAGGCAGAACAGAATTTTGTTTAGCAGTCTTGGTTTTTGAGGGGGGTGTCTGTGTGTGTGGGAGGTTAGTGTAAGAACACCATTTTTTTCCCCCTAATACTGTTTGGGAATGTAAATATTGTAAACTTGAGTGTATTTTTGCTTTTGCTTCTAGAAAACCCACCATTATCAACTGAGCAATTGAAAAAGCCTTGGCCTGTATCTTAGAGCCTTTTATTTTTTATTTTTGAAGATTTTATTTATTTGACAGAGAAAGACACAGCAAGAGAGGGAACACAAGCAGGGGGAGTGGGAGAGGGAGAAGCAGGCTCCACACTGAGCAGGGAGCCCGACGTGGGGCTCGATCCCAGGACTCTGGGATCATGACCTGAGCCAGAGGCAGACACAACTGGCTGAGCCACCCAGTCGCCCCATCTTAGAGCCTTTTAAATAAACGTTTCTTGAAGCATATTTAAAAGCAGGTGGCAATGAAATTTTAGTAACTCCCAGAAATTGTATTACCAAATATAAATTCTTTTCTCCATGTTACAGTAAATTTAAAACAGACATACAGCCAAAGGTAACGGAGGCAGGCCAAATACTGCATTTAGTAAACCTATCTTCCTATACCTTGGTGTGCAACAGATTCCAGCAAACTTTCAAAGTGGCTGGACCAGGCATTTAAATGCCCTGGGTTTACCCAGACTAACTTTCAGGCAAATCATCCACTGGATGGCAGCAGCCTTAATCAGACAAATAAGACAATTCTGAAAGTGACTTGTTTAACAATAAAGACTAAGAAATAATATATTTAATTTTGAAATGTACTGTGCTCAAAACCCTAAGTAGGCTTCACCGAGATTGATTTGAGCTCTTACACTTGCTTCAATTCAGAAATGCCCCAAACAAGAGATTAGTGTTTAATTTGAGCCAACAGGTTTCTCCTAGCCATTTTCCACTCAAATTCTCCCCATTCTACCCACTGACCTTCAACGTGGCTTAACCCAGTCTCTCCCACTCTTTGCCATATTATGTATCTTCACAATCAAATTTATTTTTGACTACTACTTCAAAACAAAAAAAAAGCCAATGGAACAGGAGAATGTACCAACTAACAAGGCAAATAAAGGTAAACAAAGATTCCAGTAGCTAACAGATTTAGTTAAGAAAAAGGAAAATGGTCCCTGAAAAATGTGATGCCCTAACCCCAACCCTAACCTAACTCTAACCCTAATCTGGAACACTGCTGAAATCCCAGGGATTTTTTAAAGTACTATGATATTAAGAAATGGTCCCGGGGTGCCTGGCTGGTTCAGTCAAGTCAGTAGAGCATGCGACTCTCAATCTCAGGGTTGTGAGTTTGACCCCACGCTGAGTGAGTGTGATTACTTAAAAATAAAATATTAAAAAAAGGTCCTGCCTCTCTCAATTAAACCCTTCCAGATCTGTGTCTTCCTTAAAAGGCCCCTTTGACAGGTTGTATTTACTCTCACTGTATTTAAGAAGGTCCACCTCCCCCAATACACACATAGTTAGTGAACTTCTTGTTAAATGGAAAAGGTGAAGAGATCAATCTTTTTAACTCCTGCCTCTCCTTCCCTGAGTTTTTCTCAGTTAATCCACTTTTTAAATAAAGTATGAGCTTTTCCTTCTGTTTAAAGTTTAAGTAGTCCTGGGCTAGCTTGGAAGTGGCGAGTAAAAGCCACTGGAGTCTGACTACGGTGGTTTGATTCCCATTTCTACCACTCAACAGCTGGGGCATCTCAGGTGCCTGGCTGGCTCTTGTAACTCTTGATTTCGGGATCATGAGTTTGAGCCCCACATTGGGTGCAGGGATTATTTAGATAAATAGATGAATTAATTAAAAAACTAGTTGGGGCAGTTTAAGCAGGACTCTTGGCCTCTTTTCTCCCGACCCCCCCCCCCGGAAACTTAAGAGAATAGTACTTCCCATGGGGCTGGTGTGCAATTATGCATGTGAAGCAATTATTGCAGTGCCCGGCACGCAAGAAGTGCCCAATAACTCATCTATTATCATCTTAGTGCCAAATTCTTCCTGCACCCAAGAGTTCGCCTGAAAAATTAACCCCAGATCAAGGAAAAATTAAAGAGAAAATATTATTTATGCAAAACCCCCTTTAAATTATGTTCAGCCAGTAGGTAGGCAATTCCCAGAAAAATGTGCTTACAGTCCAAAGAGGGTTCCTTTTCTATGTAGCTCTGAAGGATATTTCATCCTGAATAAAAAGAAATATTAAGAAAAATAGTGTATTTGGCTTTCAATTCATTCTGGTAGTCTTAAAGAAAGACAGTTCTTTTTTCTGGCATTGCTTATAAAAACACAAATTAATGAGAAAGAAAGAGTCCAAAATGGTCCAAGTTATTTTTAATGCAGAAAGACTATTGTGAATTGTGAATTTATTCTCTGACATGCAGCTTCCACAATCTCTCAAAAGTCTAAAAAGTCGTATCTAAAAAGTCAAGTTGTTCTTTGCTCAACATTCATTCAGATGAGAGGCCTGTCCTATTTTTCTTTTTAAAAATAATCTTATCAGTCTAGTCCAAGATCAACTTCATCCCTTCTTATATAAAAGTACTTTATCTCTCCAAGACACCCTTGGAAAGGGTAATGGTTGGTTTCTTCCACTTAACGGAAATACAGAACCTAAGGCTCTCCTTGCTACCCTGTTTATCAACATCCCCTCCACACACAGGATGAAAAACTGTATCCTAGTACCACCTCACACCTGGAATTTCTTTGACAGAGGTCAGAATCCATTTTTGACTCTGATGAAATCTTTCCAGAATACCAACAATTATTTAGGATGAATCACAGTTACAGACATGAAACGGATTCCAAATTTTACTCCATTTTCTTTCTGCATAGTCTTCAGATATGAAATTGTGTCTGATTAAAGGTGGAAAAGTAGTTACCTTATCAAATGAAACTGAAAATTCACTTTTAAAAGAGAAAGCAGTACACCTGTTTTATGAGCTTTTGTATGTATGGAATATTAAATTACAGTTCTTTGCCCTTATTATTTAAAAATGAGAGAGGGCTCTAGGCTACAATTTAGAAAAGCAAAAGTCCATTAGCCTCATAGCCTTTGATCACAAAGATTACTATATAAATGGCTATATGAGTTACTGTTGAATAGCGGCTAAATTGGAAAGCACAATTTACTTCATACCAGTGCGAACTGGGAGAATACGATCCTAATCATAACTGGGAGAAAGTTCCAGGCAAACAGCTTTAAAAAACAAAAAAGCGCAATTAATAAATTATCAATAACTTAAAATCTTACTTTAAATCTTGAAGATTAGTCTAAAACTTCACATTTAAGAATATAAACATATGCTCTTACTGTATCTATTACGTTACACATTTCCTTGAACCAAATATTTTTTCCTAAGAACCCAATTACCAAAAAAGTTGGAAATACAAGTATCTACTCCTTTAAAAATCCCTACAAACTATGAATAGAAACCTGTTTTCACTTTTATAACAACTTACAAAACTTGTTTGCAAAGCGTTATGAAACACAAGTGTCCCTCCCTCTGCCCTAGCGAAAGAAGCAACATGCTAAGAAATCGAGGCAAATTCTTAAATAGAAGAGAAAAACTGTATAAAGCATCCAAGGAAGAAATAGTGTATGATGGCAGAAAATTCGGCAACAGCCTAAAATCAATAGAAATTCTAATCTACACTCGAGAAACTCTTACCCTTGACAGCACAGAACGGAGTACCCTGCTTTACACATTTTGGAACTGCAATTCTGAAACGTTAAATCCAAAGACAAAGCCGCCCTGGGGAAAATAACAATTGCGCAACAGACCAACAGCTCCAACTTGTCCCTTGGCCCCGGCGCGGCAAGGTTTGCACGCTATAAAGCCGGAAAGGGCCAAGCAAGGGCCGCCGTGACAGCCAACCGGCCACTGTCATGGAGGCCGAATCCACGCACGCGGCGTGCGCCACTGAGAGGCACCGCGCGGGGACCGACCGGGGCACGGCGGCGTCCGACTTCAGTCCGCTGGCTCGCCCGCACTTACCTGCGGGTTGCCAGAGGCTGACCTCGGATCTCCGAGCCTTTCCCACTACGCGAGCGAGCGCGCAAGCCCGCTTCGGCCGCCGCACGTCGGGGCATCGGAGCGCGCTGGGCACTTCGTGACCTCGTCCCTCCCCCACCCTGGGGGCTGGGCTTTCTCGCCGAGCTGCCTACCAGCGATCGACGGATGGACTGATTACTTTGCAAGGGAGCGCCCTTAGACGGCCCAGCGGCGTGGGCGCATAGCGCCACAGTCCGCGCCCACGGAGGCCGTGGATGGGGGCGGTGGCAGAGCAGGGGCGCCGGGTCCCAGTCCGGAGGAGACCTCAACTCCCCCGAGAGCGGCCCCGTGACTAGGCACATTTTTGCCGGCTCCGAGGCGGAGGAGCAGCGCAGCCCCGGAAGGGCCGGGCCGCGCCGGCTCAGACCGCCAGCGTCCGCCCCAGACCGGCAGCGTCCGCCCCCTCCTTCAGCCCTGCCACCTCTGGGCAGCTCAAACTCCGGGGGCCAGCTGGGGCTCCCGAGTCCCAGCTCCGGAAGCTGGGGACGCGGCTAGAGAGGCCCCTTCGCCCCACGCACGCGAACGTAGCCTCCAGACCTCCACCCAATCGCCCTCGGGGGCCGCACCCCCCACGCCCCTCGCTGCCCCTTGGGTCCTCGCGGCCCACGGAGTTCTCGCTCCCCCTTCCCGCCCGGGCCCGGCGCAAGCGCAGCGGCTCCAGTGTGCGGCCGCTGCAGTCCGGACTCCGGCCGTAGACGGGAGAAGTCGGCTGCGGCTGTCCCCGCCGGGTCCGCGGCTCCCTCGCGCCCCTGCCCCAGTCCGGGCACCACCGCGGGGCTCCAAGGGTCGCGGGCAGCACCTGCTGGGACGGCTGTCCGGGCGGCGGCAGCTCCAAGTCCATCATGATGAGCTGGGGACCGTGCTCTGGCGCTCCCCGACGGCGGCCCTGTCCCAGCTGCCGAGGCGCGGCGCGGACCCGGCGGCAGCGGCGGCTCCACGAGACTCCCCGGCACTCGCTACGCCGCGACACGGCCCGAGTGGCCAGCCGGGCTCCTGCCCCACTCCGCCTCCCGCCCCCCGAGGGCGGGGCAAGCGCCGGGGCCTTCCTTCCCGGGCTGGCGGCGCGGGCCGAGCTTCTGAAAATCCCCCACCCCCGCTCCAGCTGACGCAAGAAGCTCGCTGGCCGCGGGCGGGGGTCCCTGTGGGCGGCCGTGGGTGGCCGCGAGCGGGCGGGCGGGGTGCCCGGAAGAGGGCTGCATTAGCTCCCTGCTCCCGGCGCTCACCGCCCCCCCCCTCCCCCGGCAAATAAAACCTACGCTCTCGGCCCGCGAGATTAAGAGTTGTTTGCCGAAGGTCGCTGGGGTTCGGGCGCTTTGAAACAGTTTAAACAGTTGGAACAAACACGTCTGGAGACCGGGTATCGGAGCTGCGCCTCCCTGATTTGGAGTTGCAGAACCTTGCCCGGCTTTATCTCACTCCACCGGTCGAGAGTGGCGCCAGCCCTGGGGGCGGGGGCTAAAGGTTTGGACCCAGGCCCTGCGCAACGCGAACTGCCCTCTCGCCCTGCGTCCCCTCCGGGGCCGGGGCCAGCGGGACTTGCCCAGGGCAGATGTGGACCGCGCGGGGAGCTCGTGCTCGCAGTCACCCTGAACGCCCTGCGCTTACTCCCCCGCGCTGGCGCTCCCGCTAGGCCCAGATCGCCAAGGGCGAACGCGGAGGTCTCTTCTGGTCGGGGAGTGGTCAGGCTGGCCCAGCAAGAGTTTTCTCTTCCCACCAGAGCGCACACACCACACCACAGAGGGCGTCTTTTAACACTGCAGTACTACAACATGCCATAATCTGTACAAGTTTCTTTTCACGTACCACGCGTATAATTTTAAAAATTAAGGATAAAAAAGACCAAATTATAAAATAGTTTGAGTTGTATGGACCCGTCTTGTAAAAACATGTGGTGTCTAGGGGAAAAAATGAAAAGTTGTTACCCAAAATCGTAGTTGTAACATCACGAATGATTTTTATCTTTCTCGTTGTTACTTTAAGTAAATTTTAAATCTACAATGAACATGTATTACGTTTTACATTAAAAGCGATTATTTAAAAAGTGTCCACAAAAAACTTCAAGTACTTGAAAACAGGAATATTGTGAAATCTTTCTTAAGAGAGAAGAGATAAATGGTTTTGTTCTGTTTTGTTTTCTCTTATGCATTGACAATCTTTCTGACTCTTTAAGAATCCTTGTTTTTAGTTTCTAGTTTCTTGGAATTATGCAAAGCCAGGTGAAGTAGACAGTGTTGGCAGAAGTTTTACTATTTCATTCAAAAATCCGACGGGAAAAAAAAAGCCTGATTATTGCAGATCAACGCCCAGAAAAACTGCAAAGAAGTTACCCGCTCTTGGTTGCATAATTTGACACTCCCAGGATTTATCTGTAAATTTATAGGTTCAAATATTCCTTGAGGTAAGTGAAGCCTGAATTAATTGCTTGTAATTGAGGCAAACTTCTTCAACTTGAATTAAACCTTTTCAGCTGTTCTTTGAAAAGCCTGCAAAATGATCTGCACACTGAAAACAAGCTTAGGAGCAATTATTTACAATGAGCCTGACATAAAACATGCAGAGACATAATGAAAAGACATTTCTGCGTCAAAGAAGGGCACAGGAGTATATTGTTTAACAATTCTGGTTTACTTATTAAAACTACTACATGGGAGAAAGTAGACAATGAACCCAGGAGGTAAGAGATACCAAAGTCATATATGACACGGTTGCTGCCCTCAAGGAGTTTATAAAGTGTTCGGTATTTCCTTGTTAAGCAACAAATTTCCATTGAGTTTAATGAATGAAATAACCTTTATTTTTCAAAACTGCCACTGCTGGGAGAGTATTATTTTAGGCACCTCCAGAGTACATATTTTCAAAGGGAGGAGAATGATAACAGTCTAAACATGTTAAAGAAAATAAACATTAATGAAAAGCTGCTTGGTGTTAAATGGTTGTTCCGCACCAGAAAAGGGAATCCTAGTCTCAGACCATCCATGTCAAAGAGGTTCCCAGTCTTTGCAGACACTGAAATGACACTGTCTTTATGTGAGAACCTGGGCCCTTCCTTGCCCTGTAAACTTACCTATTGTGCTGTGGGGACACGGTTAGCATGCATTTTGAGAAGCTCCAGAGGAATAGGAAAGAGGATGCAGGTTTTCTTCTCCTGTCCTGGTGCCGTGGGAATCTTTACTGCCTGCTCCCCTAACTACTAATTTTTTCCCCCAATTTGTTTCAAATGCTACTAACCCTTGCACATTTCCATTGATGTCTGAAATCTCCGCTGTCTTTGGAAAGACAGCCCTCCATATATGCTTCACATGTTTCAGAATTATAATATTTTGTTCTAGAGTTATCAAAAATAAGCATCATCAGTTAAGTTTTCTGAGTACACAAAGTTTGGATAGTGGCGATGCAATGACCCACTTATTTCAACTTCTTCTCTGTGATCTAATCTGCCAAGTTTGCAAGGTTATTAAAGCACCTGTTGCTTCAAAATCCTTCATCACCTTGAGGCTCCTTCCCTCTTCTTTTCACTGTTGTTTTTTTTTTTTTTTTTTTTTTTAGTCACTTTCTTTTTAATTGTACTCTGTCTTTGAGCCAGAAAATATCCAGACTCTTTTGAAATTATAGTCGAAATTCTAACTTTGTCCAGCGTACAGTTGGAGAATACTGGGTAACTAGTTTCCCAAAAATGGCACCCAGTGAACCACCTCTCCTCATACTGATGTGTTTGTATAGCACCCCCACCCCCACTCCCGCGCCGCAACATTGAATCAAGGCTGGCTCTGAGTTGCTTTAACTTTTTTTTTTTTTAAGATTTTTTAAATTTATTTTTTAGAGAGCGAGCGAGAGAGAAATAGCATGAGAGGGGAGAGGGTCAGAGGGAGAAGCAGGCTCCCCGCTGAGCCGGGAGCCCGATGTGGGACTCGATCTCAGGACCCTGGGATCATGACCTGAGCCGAAGGCAGACGCTTAACCATCTGAGCCACCCAGGCGCCCTGAGTTGCTTTAACTTATGGAAAGAGGCTGAAACTGATACTATGCCAGGTCTCTGCCCAAGCCTTAAAAACTCCTGAAAGCTTTTAATTTTATACTTACAAGTCAGACATCATGGAAGAAGTCTATCTTCGTGGGAAGAGAGGCCACGGAGAAAACCCTGGGGTTGAGACTCCAGGTGGAAAGGGAGGCTATGTGAACCAAAGCACCAGACCTGTGAGTGAAGAAACCATCTTGGAACCTTCCGGCCCACTTAGGCCCCCAGTGAACTCCAGCCCCAGCTGCTATCTGACATCGTCAATGAGAGACTCCAAGCAAGACCCGTAGAAGACTGCCTGGCTGTGCCTTAGCAGCCCAGAGAATTGCAAGAGATTATAATCAATTGTTTTCAGCCACTAAATTTTGGGGGTGGCTTGTTTCTCAGCAATAGATAACAAAGCAGCATATATTAAATATCAAAGGCAAGGTTTCTCCTGGCTGCTTTTTCTTTGTTAACCATCATTGGGAACACATATAGGGATGGTATTTTGCAATTTAATAGAGTCTCAAACCCTTAGAAGCAAATTGACTTCCCTGTGAGTGAGAAAGAGATCTTTCCTATAATGTATACTTGTTGCTACATACAAAGTAAGTCCCCTTCTCACAGCATATGTCTGTATCATACCATTAGATAGATGATGGTGGATGATGAGATATTCTTACGAGAACACTTAAGGACCACAGACATTTCATCAATTAAATAGATGGAGATAGAAATGCGTCTAGAAATTCTGGCCCTGACATGACCTCGTTTATACCAGTTATGTAAGATACTTGCTGAATATCGGCTGAGGGAATTTGAACTTCAGGAGCAGCTTGCCCAGTGGATAAACTGAACTCCCGTACAGCAGTATTCAGAGTAATTGGTGTATTAATTTCAAAACATACCCATAACCTTGGTTCCTTGGTGTGCATAACCTGGTATGCAAACTACTGATGCAAAGAACTCTGTATCTCCAAAGCCAGTTTTAACTTGTATAGTTTCCTGCTGATAATAGAAACAGTGCTGTGCAAGAATGGCAGTGCAGTGAGTGAAGAGAAAACCCCAGCTTAAAGAGCGCTTTTGAATTATGTATTGATACTTATATAAATATATATGCATAGAAAAAAAAAAGACTGAACATATATGCTCCAAAATGTTAGTCATAATATTCTTTTTTTTAAAAAAAGATTTTATCTATTTGAGAGAGAGAGAGCATGGGGGAGGGCGAAGGGGGAGGGAGAAGCAGGCTCCCTGCTTGGGCTCTATCCCGGGACCCTGGGATCAGGTTGAGCCCCTGGGATCATGACCTGAGCCAAAGGCAGATGCTTACCCAACTGAGCCACCCAGGCGCCCCAATCATAAATATTCTGATTAGATTACTTATGATTTTATTTTTTTCATTTTTGCCTGTCTGTATTTTCCTAAATAAACACATATTACTTTTACAATAATAAGCAGGAAAAGTGGGGGTGGGTTATGGGGTAAAGGAGGAACACTTGCTTTTCTCCCAAGCCACTGGGTCCATTTCATTTCCAAATTGAATTTTAACCACAAGCTTTGCAAATCTTTCCTTTCTGTATCTACTAGAGTGGAGCCTGGAGAATTTGACCACATCTTTAAGTGCGGTTGTGGTAAGGGTCTAAAGGTCCCTTGCTCTTTCAGTCTACTGCTATATTTGCAAAGTTTCACTTAGAAGGGGAGCCCCCAGACAAAGATAGAATTTTGTGAGTAC